TTGCCCGGGGGCCCCATGAGTTGTCAGTCCGCCCCTGCTGTTTAGATTTTTAGGGCTGTCCAACATATGCGTATGTGAACCTTGGGTCACAGGTTTGCCACAGGAGATCTAAATCTACTAGTCTATCAGACACTATCCTCTTCAGACAGTGCTGCTGTCCAAGGGTGTCTCCATTGCTCCTCCATAGGTAGAGGAGCCACCCTCAGATAAAAACTGTGTTACTGGCTGAATCACCAGGTGAAAATAAAGAAAAAAAAATCCTAGATTAAGAAAACAAATGCCGCTATGACATCTAAGAACAGGTAAGCTGCAATATATACAATTTTTGCTTTTGGGTTTAATACTGCTTTAATCATATACAGGATAGGTTGGAAAGACATCTTCTACAGTAATCCAACTTCATTTTACAGGAATGTACTAGGCTGGCTGGAAGTAATAACTGAGTGTTCTTGCATACTTCTCTCTAAAATATTTATTCATTTTCAGAAAGCCTTTCCGCAACATTTTCCACATTCTCTACTAAACATCGGAGATCTGCTACATGCATTCCATTTCTGTGTAAACAAAGGTTAAAATATATCAAACTGTCTTCACTTTAGTGGCCAGAAATAATAAAAGATACTACTTGTATGATGCTAAAAAGCGTTTTATCGGGGGTGTGAAATTTGGAAAACGATAAAAGGAAGGACCTGACTTAGTACTATTGATCTTTAGTTTAGCACATTCTACTAAGACGTTATTTGTAGAGCTAGGAAGTGAAAGGAACATTACTTCCTCTGTGGTGCTGACACTTAGATCCACACCTGCTGGTCATGTTCTCCTAGACTTGAAGTTCCGTATAATCAGGATACGGTGCCCAAATGTATGTCTTCCTTATAGGTTACCTAACTTTAATGCTTACCTAATGTGATATGTCAGATGTAACTTCAGAACTTAACTTTTTTTTTCATTCTCTGTTGACCGTTACACATTTTACGCTGGTCTGATAACTATATTTTTGGTATTTACCAAACATTGTAAATAGTGATTGAAAATGCATTATAAATTCATCATATGATCATGTCAAACTATGTACACCAAAATAAATTTGCTGTGCTCTCTATTAATACATAAACCAAGTGAATCTAATATAATAAAGTACATAAAACAACTCACATAATAAATAAATAAACAAATCCACAATTCCAAAAAGTGCACTCAAATAATGAATAAATAAATACAGTAAATAATCCCAAAAAGTTCACAGAGAGTGGAAAATCAATCGCAGTCAAGTGCTGGAAAGATCAAGGCACTCTATGTGTGCATCTGGAAATACCCAGAATAATCTTGTGCCTCCAATATCCACCAGCGTGTGCGCCACCTTCTAAGACCTCTATGAAAATATGGCCTAACAGTGCTTAAAGTGTTACTAAACCTGTATTTACTATATCTGGTCTCCCACAGTACACACAACATGGAAATGCAATTATTTGAGTAAATATAAACAGCTAAATACCTTTTCTCATCAGCGGTATATAGCAGACTTGTGATTTCTATCAGTTTCCAGCAGAACACTGGCTTGTAGGAGGAGTTTTCATTCTCCCCCGATTGTCCTATGAGGCTGCATAACCCATGACCCTCTGTCTGGACAGTGCTGATTGGCCCTGTGCTGATTACATGCACTGTCCCAAGAAAAAAAACTGTCTAGCAATACACACCCAACTGAGCAAGTGCAGAGTGCCCCCAAGGCTCTGTTCTATTAGTAGATGGATTGGGGACAGTGAAAGAAGGGGAGGATCAGAGAAGACAGGCTCAAACATCCTTTAACACAAAGTGGAGGATTAACCCCTTAGGTTCCACAGTGAGTATAACAAGCATGCTTTACTGCATATACAGACTGATTTTACTGTTGTGGGTTTAGTAACACTTTAAGAATGAGAAGGAGAATGAATCCAAGTAAACACATGTAATAGGAAGGAGATCGCTCATCGTTCAGTATTAAAACCAGTTGTAATACTGCATGATGAGCGATCCCCTTCCTTTTACATGTGATTAATTGAATACATTCTCATTGCGAGTATATTGTCCCATATCTGGTGTGAGATGACGGCTTGATGAGTACTGAGTGTTGATATCTGTTGCTACCTGGCATGCTGGCAGATTTGGGACCGGAGCTGTGACCCATCCATCCATCCACTGAGGGTTCTCTCTCTTAAGCACTGTTAGACCTTCTTTTCATATAGATCTTTGATTCTGGTAAGGGGCTCTGATATCCTTCTTGGTGGCACACACCAAAATTTTTTGGGGTATTTCCAGACGCACACATAGAGCAACGTGATCTTTCCAGCACATGACTGTGATTGATTTTCCACTTTCTATGAACTATAAGAGCTATTTGGGATGATTTATTTATTCATTTTTTGAGTGCACTTTTTATGAATTATGGATTTATTTATTTATATTATCAAGTGAGTTGTTTTATGCACTTTATTATATTAGAGTCACTTAGTTTATGAATTAATAGACAGCCCAACACATTTATTTTGGTGAATTTACTTTGCAATGTATGTATGTGCAGATAGAGTGAGTGCTGCTGTCTTCAGTTGGATTACTTTCTGATTTCTTGCTTTCAATTCCGATTCTATGTGACACTTTAGTGCAGGATATCATTGCTGTTATATCCATGCCAAACGATGGTTGTACTGTTATTTGAAATTCAATAAAAACATTGAAACAGAAAATTTGGATCCATTATACAAGAGCGTTAGAGAGAAAAATGTCTACGCTTGATTTAGGAGTCTATCGGATTAGAGATGTATTCCTTTCAAGACAGGCTATTGCATGGCACCGGGAATTTGTCAGGTTTTCCAGTGCCAAAAATTTATTCTAGTTGCTTTATTAAATAAGGTCTATTAATTATGCTTTTATAAAAGAATGGAAGAATGGAAGAAATAAAAATGTGTGTGCGGCCTTTGGGACTGCAAGTGCCAATAGGATCATACACATACCTCTCAGCTCAGGAAATGTGGCTTTTGGAACCAATATCACTTTCCAAACTGCATAGAAAAAAAATAACTATTGTATCTCCCTGGATCTTAGGTACAATAAATGAACTTTCCATCTTATGGACATGAATTCTTTAGACATCTGTATATCACCAGTGTTGGGTGGTGCATTCACTTAACCACTTCAAGTCCGGACACTTTCACCCCCTTCCTGTCCAAGTCAATTTTCAGCTTTCAGTGCTATCACACTTTGAATGACAATTGTGCGGTCATGCAACACTGTACCCATATAATTTTTTTGCATTTTTTTGAAACAGCTAAAACTTAATTTTGATGGTAATTATTCACCACTGGGATTTTTATTTTTTATTTTTTGCTATATAAATGAAAAAGTCAAAACATTTTGAAAGAAAGTGTTTTTCTTATAAAATTTTGCAAATAAATAATCTTTCTTCATAAATCTTGGCCAAAATGTATTCAGTTATCTTTAAAAAAAAAAAAAATAACCAAAATTAGTTTATAACCAAAAATTATAATTTTTCTAAATTTTTTTTTACATTTTTATTTTATTTTTTTATATTATTTATGGTGGGTTTTTTTACATACTGTCACCCTAGCAGTACAGTGTCACCATAGTGACACTGTACTACTTGTGGGGGGGGGGTGACAAAGATTTTTTTTTTTTTTTTTTACACTGATTGCTTTTACACCCATAAAGGCTATAAAAGCAATAATTCCTCCTTCTCTCTGGCTGCATTCTTGCAGCCATTGAGAAATACTGTGTGAGCTGTGATTGGTCACAGCTTGTCACATGTTACAAGGCTGTTGTGAATAGCCTTGTACCATGTGACCTCTGTGATCATTCACAGATTTCACACGTAGTAAGCAATGATGTCAGAAGTGACATCTTTCTTACTACTCTTCATGTGATTACTGATTGGCCAATCAGTGATCACATGATCGGGACATCACACAGAGGTCCCATACAACGATCGGTGTTCCGCTGTGTCCTCCGGACACAGAGGGCACTGGATCGTGGTGCCGCGTTCTTTTAGGGAGTGCGCACAAGCAGGGAAGCGGGAGCATGTTTATAAACAGCCACCTGCCCCTGTACTGCTCCCGGATGGGAAGTGGTAAAAGTGGTTTTAAACCCTCACATATACTCAGAGAAGGGACTGACCTCAGGTGATAGACAGAGGAGAAACAAATCCTCCTACATACGTTGTACCTGTTTATCTATAGCCATCTTTCCCCCACATCTATTCAAAGTGCAGAATTTACAGGATCTCTCAGCTCTAATAAACAGGGGGTGGAGAGCTGATGTTACATCAGTGAGAAGAGCACTGAGAACTGATTGGAAGGAAGGGACACACTCCCTTCACACAGCACACAGGAACACTGTGTGTGCCCTCCCCGTCACCATTTTTCTCTTGGTGTTAGGAAAACTAATCAGAAATGGCTCATACTGATAGCAGACAGTAATGAAAAATAATGCACTGGATTGAAACAAGCACACACTACAGAGGGATATGCTTTGTTCATATTTCATGTCTGCGGTTTACAACCCTTTAACCACTTGCCCTCCAGAGGATTTACCCCCCTTCCTGACCAGGTCATTTTTGCTATACGGCACTCTGTTATTTTAAATGACAACTGCGCAGTCATGCACCTAAATTAAATTTCTGTCCTTATTTTCCCCACAATAGAGTTTTCTTTTGTTCTTTCCATGGTATTCGATCACCTTTGCATTTTTTATATTTTGCACTATAAACAAAAAAAGACCGGCAATTTTGAAAAAAAAAAACTATATTTTTTACTTTTTGCTATAAAGTATGTCCAGTAAAAATTTTAAAAATCAAATTTCTTTATAAATTTAAGCCAAAATGTATTCTGCCACATGTCTTTGCAAAAAAAAATCCCAATATGTGTAAATTAATTGGTTTACATGAAAGTTATAGCGTCTATAAATATCGGTATATATACTGGAGTTTGAAAAAAAAATCGGGACTGCTGGCCCGGGCTGCGGCAGGCTTTCTGACACTGGGAGGGAATGACTAACTGCCACTGACATCCCCAGTGACACTAATACAGTGATCAGTGCTAATAAAAAGCACTGACACTGTACTAATGACACTGGGCAGAAAATGGTTAACATCTGGGGTTATCAAAGGGTTAACTGTATGCTGTTTTACTGTGTGTGCTGTGTGTGTTTTACTAGGGAAACATACTGCTGTGTATTTCTCTGTTTGTAGAGAAATACACAGCAGCATGTTACTGCTGGCAGGAGAGAGACCTGTGTTGTTTACACACAGGTCTCTCCCCTGTCAGTGATACTTGGCGATCGCCAGGTGCTGGCGGTGAATCTCCAGGTGGGACCAGGTGTAGGAGGAGTTTTCTTTATGCTCTAGGAAGATGGAAATCCCCTGACCTGTGTCTGGACAGTGCTGATTGGCCTTGTGCTGAACAGATGCACTCTTCCAAGAAAAAAAAAAAACCTCTCTAGCAATACACACCAACTGAGCATGTGCACATCTACGGTTCAGTCAGGAGATAAGTGGTGATCCCTTGAAAGGGGGGGAGGAACAGAGAGGACAGAATCAAACATCCTTTTAACACAATGTAGAGGATTAACCCCTTAGGTTCCACAGTGAGTATAAAAGCATGCTTTACTGCATACACAGACTGATTTTAATGTTGTGTTGATTTTAATGTTGTGGGTTTAGTAACACTTTAAGCTGAAGTTGGAGGTGTGGCATGAAGCTGACCTGAAAAAAGTTGTGGGCAGTGAATTTTAGTCAAAGAAGGTGGCGGAAAGCAAACAACTTTTTTTTATGATTCATTATGTTAAAATTAAACTGATTGATTAGTAAGACATTTGCATTTAGTGTGTGCGCGTCAAACACATAGAAAAGTGCACTGCCACTGAGAATTCTAAAAATTGCAAACTAGTAAAAAGTGTTTTTGTAAGTAATTTGTGTTCAAGGAAACCAGATTGATCTCATGTTACTATTTTGCTAACAGTTTACAGAAACACATGATTTTTTCTTGTGTGCGTCCCAATGTAGCAAAAGAAGCTCTTCTAAATTAAAACTCCAACTTTCCCTTTGAGTTTTACCAGAGTCTATCTGTATTTTAAAGTATAACCCCTGTCAGGTTTTTATTGCTCTCTGTGGCCCAGTTAGGGAGATTCACCCTCTCTGTTTGTTCTGTTTACCATTATAATTTCAAGTGAAAGCAGGGTGGATACAAATCAATGATTTTTTTTAAAAAAATCAAAAAAATCTGATTTTGTTTATTTAAATCAGATTTTTTTATTTAAATCGGATTTTTTTTAAATAAAATGCTTTTTGAGGAAAATATATTACCATCCAAAGGTTATTCCATCATGAAATAAAGATTAGTTTTTTAATTATGTAGAATAAGGCTGTATATGTTTAATTTTTTTGGTAAATAAATCCCATTAATCCATTCACAATGTCATGCTCTTCCAGAGGTTTTTGTAAGATTATTGGGCAGTTTCTCTGCCTACAAGATATTATCACAGATGCTTGGTTTACTTTTGCAGTTCTCAAAACTGAATTTGACTCAGCGGAGATCACATGCCTCTTCTTCACAGCAAAAATGTTATAACATGAACAGAGTTAAGAAAAAGACCTTAATCCTAACTTCTACAAACCTATGAATACAGAATCAACCCCTTCAGTGCTAAGTTTCAAGAAGTTCAGTGAATAGAATAGAAACAATATTTTTCTGATTGTTTGGAGTGGAATAGATCTGCACAAGAAGAAAGTGAAACTAAGTGTGAGGAGGAAGGGGCTGACAGTCTAAGTTTCTTAAAAATATATATATTTTGTTTAGCCAAATTAGTTAACAAACATGAATGTTTGTGTAAGCAAATCACATATGCTGTAATGTTATTGTTTCAGTTGAATAAATCTATTTAAATTGTTATTATTAAGGTAATGATTATTTTTTCTCCTTCCTAAGTACAACAGAAAAGTTGTCCAAATATGAATGATTAACCTATTAAACTGGGGATAAAAAAAACTAATATGAAAAGTTGTTATTCTAAAAATCTTCATCTACTTGCATATTAAAGTTATACCAGCAAGAATTAGTCTTTATGTAGAAAACTATGATTTAAATCAAGCCTTACTGACTAGTGCTTTAAATCGTGATTTAAATTGTGATTTAAATCAGTTTGATTTAAATCAAATCCACCCTGCTTTACAGAGAGGTTGCAAGGGTTGCCGGATGTCAGAACTAAGAGTCCTAAGATAAATATCTACTGTGGGTTTTATCACTTTCCTCTAGATGATATACTGTATAAGGAGCAGCTCCACATGTGATTAGCTGGGTAACCAATGAGGGTAACTCTACAAGTAATAAACCTTTCCTTGTCCTGAGAATCTTATCTCTTATCCTTGCTAGGTGGTACTTTTCCACATACAACTACAGAGCATAATACATTCTCCTAGCAAAGTTTGAAAATGATTTATAGCATTTGTACAACATGATAAACAGCAAAGTCCAAAGCAAAATCTTCCTTGTACTGATAATCTGAGCAGTCCTCTAGGCCCTATGTAAAAGATAACTTCATTGATTTTCTTACATAAATGCAAAATACATCACCAAGGAATTCAAGTGCGTAATAGTGGTTGAAAAAGTCAAGATTAAATGGAATTTAATGAAACGCGTTTGCACAGTTGGGGCTTTATGTGAACCCTGAGAGACCTCTCCTTTTTCATTTGTTTTATTGTTCTATAAAGGAAAAACTCTGGCTTAATTAAAAATGATCACATATTACTACATAAGCAATGTATAATGTACTACTTTAGAAGTAGAACTCCAGCTAATTTTCCATATACAGTATCTATTGGAGAGATTTCCCTTTACTTTCTGCTCCAATATTTTAACTGAAAGCAATTGTTCACCTTTCATCTGAGCCGATGAAAGGTTAAAAGAACATGCTTCCTCTACTCCTGCTTTAGGGTGAGCTGAACATTTAAAAATTCAATTTCCTCCAGCATCCTGTCCTGGTGATATATAATGATAGTAATTTTCCTCAAAGGTGACAAAGAATCAATAAAAACATGACAAATATTCTAACCTATTCCCACTCTATGAAAAATTAGACTTTTATAGTTTTTTGTCTCCCTATTTCAGGGTTTTTTTCCTGTCTGCAGAACTAAATGTCTAGGACCATCATTAAGGAGAAATCTCTCTGAGCCCCAGATATTAATAAAAACCCAAAAGGGGTGTTAATGGTTCCTTACTGTATCCAGTATAAATAAAAGTTTAACTCCTGGGCATACACAGTATTTGAACTAGAATTATGATTTATGTCAAGCCAGAATTTTTTTCTTATTTTTAGAATAGGGATGAACAAATGTGCCTGGGTTTGGCTCACCTGGGTAGTCATCTTCTTCAAACAAGTAGGCAGCTTGTGTTGTGGATGATGGCGGCTGCAGAGCAGCTCTGTCATTCACAAAATCAAGCTGACAGCACCACAAGTTGGCACTTACTAAGTTTGTTCATGAGAGACTAGTGTAATAACTGCCACTTGTGATGGTGTGACTTTTTTTTTGTTTTTGTGAATGACAGCGATACTCTCCATCTGCCGTCATTCACAACACAAGCTGACAACTACTACTGTAGTTGCCTCCAAACTAACTGGAATCTGTGGGATATTATGGGCTCAGTCTTTTCACAATAAATAGTAGAGTGGGCTAAAAGGCAAAGAGGACTATATGTTCTCTGTCTAAACCGCCCCTTTCTTCTCTTTGCACTGTTATTCACAAATCCGTCTCTTTGCTCCAGTGTGATCAGATAGTGGCGGGGGGAGAGGTGGCTAGCTTACCGACCACATAGCTCAGCAACCTCTGCACACAGAAAATACTGTGTGCAGTGGGTCCCCTAAGAGAGTTTAAGGCTTTTAAACTTCTGATGAGACTTTTCTAGAAGCATTGTAAGTGGTCGCAACTTTAAGGTGCAATGCAGGATTTACATGGCAGCAAACACTACAGCTAAGGTCCAGCTGTTGAAACATTATGTGTGGTACCTTTACAGGGCCAGAGCACCAGAGAAAGCCAAAAACATTAAGAAACAATGCAGGACGGACCCTGCAACAAACACTGGAATTCTGCAGCTGTGGCCCAGCTGCAGAAACATTAGTGGCATCTGTACACTGACTGAGCAGCAGAATACCAGGAGAAGTATCAGAAGCTGGTAATGGTGGCAAGCAGGAGAGGTGGCAAGAAATGATAAAGTTGGCAGGCCAGGAGAGGTGGCAGGAGCTTGTAGCATGGCTGGATAGGTGTCAGGAGCTGGTAATGGTGGCAGGTCAGGAAAAGTGTAAGCAGCTGGTAATTTGTGGCAGACCAGGAAAGTTAGCAGGAGCTGGTAATAGAAGCAGGCCAATAGAAGTCGAAGTAGTTGATAATAATGGCAGACCATCAGAGTTGGCAGGAGCTGGTGATGCTGACAGGCCAAGAGAGGTGGAAGAAACTGATAACAGTGGCAGGACAGGCAACATCCCAAGAGCTGGCAATATTGGTAGGCCAGCATGGGTGGCTACCACTGGTGGTGATGGTGGTAGGCCAGCAGAGTTGGCAGCAACTGATAATGGTGGTAGGCCAAGAGAGATGACAGGAGCTGGTAAAGATGGCAGGTCAGCAGATTTAGCAGGAGCTGGTCATGGCAGCAGGTCAGCAGAGGTGGCAGGTGCTTGTAATAGTTGCATTGGCAGCAGGGGTTATTTAATCATTGCTGATCCAGGACTGGGTCGTATTTATAAATGTGATCTAGGCAAATTCGCCTCTTTTTTTATGAAATCTCCTACTGTGCTGAAGGCCCTTTCAGACAGCACACTGGCTGCAAGGCAAGCCAGGAACTCTAGTTTGTACTGTGCAAGCTCTGGCCAATAGTCTAGCCTGGACACCAAATAGTCCATGGGGTCATCATTTCTAAGAGTGTCTGAATCAGACCTGGGCCCCAAGTTATGGTTAATGTGCTGCCTGTGAGTGCTACCCACAGTGTAGCCTGTCTGGCTGAAAAAAAGTCTTTGCTAAGGAACCTAGCGACACCACTGTTCCTCCTTTTTAGGGCTCTAAAGTACAGTAAGCATAAGAATGGATCCTGTCATTATCACGAAATACGGCCAAGAGAGTTTTCTTCAGCACCTCCTCTAGGTGGTGCATTTTGTGTTCTCTCTGACATGGTAGCATTATATCTGCCATTTTCCCATTGTATCAGGCATTCAAAGGACGGCCACTCAATAATGGTCTGTTTTGCCTGTGCAAACACCAAATCCAGGGGTGTTTGCACAGACATTTCAGCATGAAAGAGCCCATTTGCCACAAGCTACCTGTAGCAAAAGACCC